TTCTGGTGCGTGTTGCTACTTATTATTTGTTAATTGATAAATGATTTTAATGGTCTTTTTTTGCAGTTCGAAGTGGCACTTCAGGGTGATTATGTGCGTGCCCCCGTCTCACTAGAATTGTATTGGTTTGCGCGGGTACTGAAGGTTTGGCATTTCCTTTTTCTATTTTCCGATCTTCTTTACAGTCACAGAATTTTTAGATGAACGAAATGAGAAATTATGAGTGAAAGGAAAAAAATTGGTTAACTGTAGAAAAGACAAGTGAATTCCCGGATCTTTCCCCTTTTTTTTCACTGCAACGTTAAAGAAAAACAGTTCAGCTACGACTTATTTAGATGTGAAATCGATATTGGCTCATTCTGGGAGTTTCGGGGATTTTTCTTCATTTTCGGACAGCAGGAATTGTTATGGTTCAGCAGAATGTTGGAAATAGCTAGACGAAATATGCATTATTTGGACAAGTTTTTAGGTTGCTGGTTATTTCTTGTTGCTCCAGTATGAAGGGATGGATCCCGATCGTGACGATCAGTACGATTTCTGGGTGAACATTGCTTCTGCAGATCTCAAGCCTGTAGGCAAGTTTTCTCATCTTGCTACTGAGCGTAGAATTTTTCGCCCTCTTCCCTCCGTCTCGTTTCCCGACACAGAACGGCTCTTTTATAAAACTTAAAAAATTTACCCAAACGAGAAAAAATGGTGAGTAATGTTCGCATTTCTACATAAGATCACATATCCATTGGGTCCGTTCGTGAAAAAAGTGAGGAAGGAACTGCTGAAGTAAGCAGCAGTCTCATTTTTATGCGTTTTTTGCAGCTATGCGATGTAGAAAACGCATATTGACGGGGGGTTGCCTGTGTGTGTGTCTGTGTGTTTGTCAGTACCGATTTTTCATCTCGAGACCAGCAAAAGCTACAGGGCTGAAAATTTGGGGACATAATCTACATGCGCGTACGGGACCCCATCCCCGAAATCGGCTGCCCTACTCACGTGGTACCCACGTAAGAGCCCGCCAAAGTTTTTCTCGGGTAAGTAGCTAACACGCGAACCAGAAAAGCTAGAAGGCTGGAATTTTAAGGGTATG